CACTGGTATTCAGCCAGCCTCTAATTTTTCAATCTCTCAGCTGAAAGTGAACAGCCAAGTCTACACAGGTCGACCTCGTTTTACTGCACTTCACAGACACTGCGACTTTTACAAACTGAAGGTTAGTGGCAACCCTGCATTGTCAGATGATGGTTAGCATTTTTTTTACCAACAACATATTTTTTAATTAAGGTATATACATTTTTAGACATAATGCTATTGCACCTTTAACAGGGTATGTATGTTGTAGTGTAGAGTATAAACGTAACTTTTATCTACACTGAGAAACTAAAATATTCATGTTTGCTTTATCGAGACATTTGTTTCATTGTGGTAGTCTGGAACCCAGCCTGCAAGCACTCCGAAGTATGCCTGGATCCTAAACAAATATTTATTAATAGAATTCAAATTGCAATAAAACTTCAAGAAATTACTAAAATCCCTGGCTGTACTAGATTTTTGTTATATGATACGTCATTCCAACAAGGGTCACTGAGGCACAGAAAAATGCTTATTTTACAAATTTTTATCACACTAGTACTCATCACAGCAAAACTTGACCCATACCCCACAGTACTATCGCCACTGACATGGTAAGTTCCGATCCACAAAGGAATAGAGACCAGTATTTTCCCTGTCACAGAGTCAGTACGTGGTGACAGTCAGTGGTGGCAGCAGACACCAAGGAATCGTACATCTTCCTCAGCTTCTTAAACACAGCCAGTGCCCTGTTTGTGAAATCATCTTGGCCCCTTCTTATGTACTTTCGTCCAATACATGACACCCCTTAGCAGGTGAGACTTGGGAGAGCACACTTGGAAAATATGTTTCCTCTTTTATCTTGACTCTCCTGTGACTGGGAACCAGGCAAGTGCCCAAGCCGGTCCATCAGCTGAAGCAAAGAAGCTCGAGTCTCAGTGCCCCGGGATGTGACTCTGAGGATGGATTGTAGGAGTGTCTCACGCTCAGGGCGACGCAGCAGACCGCGTGCAGACAGTAGCTATTACAGAATCCAAGAGCATGCCTGCCCAAGGCCAGTCACTCAGCAAGGTCACAGTATTCAGACATCCTTTCCTGGCACTGCACCTGCTCCCTCCCTATCATTCACTGGGAGTCTAAACATCACAGGTTCCTGGGGAGCAGTCACTGAACGATGCTGGGAACAAGCCAGGAACTGCGTTCAGGGCACTGGTCCACGTACATGAGCACGCACACGCCCACCTACCCATACAAATAGGAGGAAAGTCACATCCTTCAGAAGAAAACAAGTCTTGATTTTGCTTATATTTTAACACTTTTAAAAAGTACTTATAATTATCAATACCATGTAAACCATAGCAATGTAGGCCAGGCTATTACCTCTACGGCTTTTCCAAAATTTCTAAGAAGCCTGAAACTCACATACTTCCTGTGTTCCAAGGGTTCTAAAAACACTAAGTTTTTCACATAGAAAATATTTAAAATATCAGTGAATAAAATCAATCCCCAAAACACTATTTGGAAGCGATCATCATTACAATTTTGCTCAGAGAAGAGAGTGTAGCTAGTTAACAGCCTCTGAAACCTATGTCAAGGCACCGCCCAAGTGGAAAGTGTAAGGAAAACATAATGCTGGTCAGTTAAGCTGATATTTAAATGCAGCATTAAACATGCATTGCATACCCAACTTCATCAATCACCAACCCATCTCATTTTGCATTTTGGCTACCAAAAGAAAATGGGATTTGTTTCCCTGAAGAAATATGTCACTGCTTTGCTTGAATTATTAAGCCTTACTATTACAGAGAGAAACCTAGTCAGGAAAAAAGGAAAAAAGAAAAAGAAATAAAATTAGACCTAGGTTGCCATCTACAGACTGATATCAACACTGCTCATTCATGAAGCATTAGCCATCAGAATATCAGTAAATATGAGCAGTTAAAAATAAAGAGAAAAGGACAAAGTGAATGACCACAGTTGTAATTATAACAAAAATCAAGGCAGCCTGCAAAGTCCCTTTTTCCTAATAAATGTGAGAACAGTAAAGAATACCAGATCAAAGATTTGCACAATTTAACATATGTTATGAAGGCATCATAGATACACATCCTAACTCTAAAATTTAACACTCTGAAATAAAATTGAGTAGATTACCTGGTTCCAAATTTAAAATATTTTTAAGCAGAAAAAAAGACTACATTTCATCTCTAAAATCGAATTCTTGCAGTTTGTATTTGATATTTGTGCATATTGAGAAATGATCGCCACAATAAGTCTAGCTTTTTTCCTTGTGATGAGAACTTTAAAGATATACTCTCTTAGCAACATTCAAATATTCAATACAGTATTAAATTCTTGGATTTTTGACTCATTATCTTGACTCACTACACACCTTCCCTTTCATTTTACTTCAAGTCCTTATTGCTTTTCCCTTTCTGAAGAATAAGAGCTTTCTGGAGACATGAATATCCAAAATCACACACTTGGTTCTAATTACTAAAATAGATGTCATTAAAGCAAAAAGCAACTGCAGTAATAAATGAATATGGATGTTGCAGAAGTTAAAAAAAAAAGAGGAAAGAGGAGCAATAAAGAAAGATACTTTTGATTATATAACCTAGAAAATGTCTATAGCTAAAGGCATCTGGAGGGGGATCTGATAAGGAGAAATAGCTCAATTTTCAATAATTCTACCTAATAAAACTGAAAGAGGGGAGGAAAAAGTATGGATTTAAGCTAATATTCTTCAACTTATCAAGTGACGATTTAATCTCATAAACTATGCAAAATCTTTTCTTCATTTTCCCTGGGAAAATTGTTTTTGGAAGCCAAGATTCATTTTCCAGGTCATATGTTCTTTCTATCAAGATGAAAAGGTAAAAAATGCTTCATCTAAACTCTTATATATGCTTCTAGATCAATGGTATAAGCCTTCTACCGGGGGAAAAAAATTCCCCAAACCCTCATATGAAAGATACCAGCCGTCGTTCTGTGTACCATTGAGATACAGCCGTCAAAAACCTATAATCTGCATATGATAAAACTACATCGCAGAATGTACAGAGTTTGGGCAATTAACAGAAACAGCTGCGGGTTTCTCTGAAGACACAGAACAGCTGAGGGCTTCTGCCCGTTCTTAGCACTTTAAAAAATGGGACTCGCTTCAGTGTTCCACGTGGTTTTGTTATTTTCACCTCCACGATACAACTCTTATTGAAAACTATTTGTGAATTTCTGCAAAAGCAAAAATACTGAAAATTCAACTTTTTAATAAAGGTTACTTTCCTAGGACGGAGAGAAACACTGATTCCGCCTCATGTGTTCCCAAGTTTCTACAAATGAGATAACCTGGAACAATGATGGTCCCCTTTCTTCTGAGGGACGACTACTAAATCTAAAGGCTTTTTAAAAATACATTGGAAATGGGAGTTGGGATTTTCATAAACTAGAAAGAGTCTCACAGAAAATAAGCAAGTAACATTTCATAAAAGCCTTTAATCAAAAATAACTCATGAATAGTTTGAGTCCTGTTTCTTAGTGGGTTTTTAAGTGTTACAGAGACATCCATTTTGTAATTTCCACCATTCATTCATCAATTTTTATCAGTGTCTCACATCTGTCAGACCTGTGCTAGTTGTTGGGGTTAAAAAAAAAACTAGTAAGACATAGTCCATAGACAATCTAGTATATACTAATTAAAATAAACCCTCTATGAATTCTAACTGAAAAAGATACATGCATCCCAATGTCATAGCAGCTCTATATACAATAGCCAAGACACAGAAACAACCTAAATGTCCATCGACAGATGACTGGATAAAGAAGTTGTGGTATATTTATACAATGGAACACTACTCAGCCATAAAAAGAAATAACATAATGTCATTTGCAGCAACATGGATGGACATGGAGATTGTCATTCTAAGTGAAGTAAGCCAGAAAGAGAAAGAAAAATACCACATGATATCACTCATATGTAGAATCTAAAAAATAAAAGACAAACGAACTTTCTTCTGACCTTTCATCACCTGTGCAGCTTCTTCTAAACCCTCTGACAAGTTCCTGCCTCTTCTCAGCTGTGAAGCCCATGTGAGTGAGAATTCTAATGTGCCTCTTCATGTGGACAGTGACGTTAGCTGGAGCTCCCAGGTGGAAGATGGAGCTCTGGCCATGAACCTGAAATCTGACCCCACTCATCCTTGTCCAGGGCCACCCAGCATGTCCTTCTGCGGGGGTGAGTGGGTCCCAGGGGCAAGGAGAAGCAGCCACTCCATGGGCCATGTCCCAGCCAGCCAGCCATTCCTGCCCACTGCACCACTCCACTTGTATGTGCCTGCCCCACTGAGAACACGCTCAAAATAAAACCAAAAAGAGCCTGTCTTCATAAAAAAACCGAGATGGAAATTCACAATTCTGATGGCACACGTCACTAGTTTATCACATTTTTACCTGGAAATCTTGTACGAATGCAAACATTTTAAAAATTATTTTATACCACATTTCGCCTGGTTATTCAAGATATAATTAATTTTGTTACATGTTTACTGGTACAGTGTGTGTGTGTGTTTAGTATTCTTTTGGATATGAGTAAAATCAGTGAAACATCTTTTTGGGAAAAGTGATCTCTGACTAAAAGTAACTTGTCATAAACGTGGACAAAGGTTGTAGACACAAATAAAAGAGACCAATGTTAATAGTGGTTGGTAAAAATGCACTTTTGGTAGGATCACAGGATGGTAAAATTTACCTTTTCTCGTAAGACCACTTCAAGATGTATTTTATCTCAAAACACATATCCTCGCAGCACGATCTCTAATTACAAATAGAAATTAAGCATGAAAAACAGCAGCATCTCTCATGCACAGAAAGTCTTCTTTGAAAACCCTCATATATGACAATAAGGGGTATCTTCTGTGGGCCCAGGCAAGCAACTGGATCTGTTTACAAATTAAAATTGTATCACAGCCCTAAGATAATGATAATCAATAATAGCAATATAATAATAATAACAACAAACTTACCAGTGTTTGGAACTGTTTGTGGCGAATTCTTTAACTTTACACTTTGCTTCCCTTTCGTGGGTTTTTCCAAAGTCACGTCTTCTTTTTTCCCTTTCCTCTTTGCGGGCTGAGGAGATGAGTTGTCGCTGGATCCGACTGTTGACTTAGATTGGCGGTCATTTCCCTACAGGACAAAAGATGAGACCCTCACCGTTGGCTGATGAGCCATCTGCATGATTACGATTTGATACAAGCATTTAACTAGGGGTAAACAGAGCGGGGCGGGAGACAGGGTTATCGCCCTGATTCTGCTACTGCACGTTATGCTGTGCACCAGGAATTGACATAACATTGTAAACTGACTATACCTCAACAAAAGAAAAAGAAAAAAAGACCACATGCCCCCCATTCCTTCTGGAAAGGTTGACCATACTTTCTGATTGCCAGGTGCCTCCCGAAATGAAGACCTTGCATCTGCACAGTGAACTTCTCAGTACGAAGATGAGGTTAAGTTCAGTGGCTCCTGTCACTGGCCCAGCACAGCTCCGGGGAGCCACTGCAGTGTGGCTGCTGTAAGTAACCAGGGAACAGCTGTGCTGATCCTTAGCCGCTGCTTGGCCTTTGCTGCAGCAAGAAATGCCCTCCTGACAAGACAGCCTTGGCCTTTGGGTGTTCAGGTGCTACACTTACCTGAGTGTGTAAGGTGTGAAGCAGCAGGTGGCAGAAAGAATGCAAGTTTGAGAGACCCAAAATACCTGACTCAGAGCCACTGCCCTGCCACTAACCACAATGGGAACTTGGGCTGACTACCGCCTACCTTCTTTGAGCCTCTTTCCTTATCAACTGAATGGGGTTAATGTGCCTGCCTTTAGGTCCATCATGAGGATGAAATGGTAACATTTATAAAGTAACTAGTACAGTGCCTGGCATGTGGTTTTTGTTCAATGACTATCAGGGTGATTCCTCCAAGAGCAGAGAGTTAATATTCATTTCTTTAAAGTCATAATCACTCCATATCAACTGCAATCTTTATGCAACATCTGTACTATGCTAATATCTGAAAATAAGTGTAGTAATATTAAATAAACAAATCTGCCTAGAAACCTATTATAACTGCTCGTTTTAAACATTTATACATTCAGTCATCCAGAAGCACTTAGTTTTAGCTGTCATCCAATTAAGAACAGAAAAATTCACAGCCTTACAAGTGAAGTTATTTATGCTATTTTGTCATCGCCTACAAGAAAATTAATTATGCATCGATTTAGTTAACACTATGAAAACTTGTCCAAATCTATAACATTTTTTGCATAATTTAATTTCCTATTCCAATTGCAATTTAAACATAGTTTTCATTTAATTATTGCATTAACTGCAACAAGAGTTGGGTTTTTTTCCTTTCATTTTCTTCAATGATTCTTTCTTGAAAGACCATAAAACAGCAGGAGAAACAGCTCATATGATTCTAGTTGGAGATTCCAAAACCATCCTGTGAGTAGGAACCATCAGCCAGGACTTCTATTCTATTTTCAAAAGAATCTATTCATCCCAAGATTTTAAAACTTTCAAAGCCTTGAATGAGAGGAGAGACCCTTCTAACAAGCCTCCTAGAATGTTCAGAGATGCTGTTGATCTTTCGAGGGCTAAAATGAAAAAGAATGGGAAATTCTGGATTTCAGCATAAGTGTTTTTTACAGCTCTCTGGGAAAAGTCTTAGTCACTAAAGGGGCTTAACAAGGGAGATGCAGAAGCACCACTCTGGAGTCCCTGAGGATTCACACAATTTTAAAAACCAACTCTCTTGTTGAATATACAGGAAGTTCGATTCACTGCACTTCTGAGAAGGACACCCAAAAGGGTGGTTTTGGAGCATCAAGAAAGACTAGTTGCTTCCAATAACTATACAAGGCATGGCTTCGGTAACTGACACTCAGGCACTCAAAATATCGATTACAGACTAACCATCAGGCACTTTGTCAGTAAGAACTAAATTAAACGGAGAGAAAGGGAAGAATTGTTTTGTAATTAGCAGACTGGAAGGAATTTAAATGCTTTTCTTCTTAAAAGAGGAAACATGTTGATGTGCCTAAAAATATAAAATACATATGTAATAAATTAATACAAACATAAATTATATAATATAAATTACATATACTCATATTTATTTACATAATCATATAAATTAGAGATAACAAATAAATTAATAGAAAGAGAGAAGGGTAAAGGAATAGAGAGGGATCTTTCTTTTTTGAGCCTTCCACCTGTGACTTATAACTCAGGTACATGAAGAGAAAGTCATTGCTATTTGTGGGGCACAGGGAATGGGGGAGTTTTGCCATCTCCTACAGCTATGCTAGTTGAGAAAACAGTATTATTGAGTACCTCATGTGCTAAATACCCATGAAACAAGTATTTACCAAATTTTTGATATGTATTATTATCACTATTTTATAGATAAAGGAATTAACTTTCTCAAGGTCACCCAGGTCTGATTTTTCCACTACACTGAGGCTTCCTACTCCCCAAGGCATTAGAAACAGCTGTTAGATAGTGTGGTTCCTTAAAAAGCCACCTGGAAGTACCAGATTATGGCTTTCTCCCAAAGGGGCAGAAATCAGGTAGCAATCTCCTTCTGAGCAGGAGACGGGACTCAGACTCAGACAGGCATCTCTCTCACTTGCGTATCTGGTGATGGCCAAACTGGACTCAGTTTCTGCAAAAGGCAAAATGGAGTTTGGGGGGCATTCAGAATTTATCTTGCTTCACAGTGACTTTGTGACACATGGATAATCATATTTTTTTAACCAAAACTTTAGTAATTGTAATATCTGAATCTGTAAATTGCTGATCACAAGATATATCAGCCGCATGGTAGTAAGAACAACTAAAGACGATTTAATGCAGCCTTTGCTTTAACTTTCAAATACTTCCCTGATTTCATGTCTTTTCCACTAGAGGGTGCTTGGATTCTGCGTGGTGTGACCCCACAGCGAGAGAACAGTCTTCTGCCGATGGGTTTATTTTGCAACCTTAATAGAACTTCGAACAATTCACTTACATCTTCCTTCTGTTTTCAGGGCTACAACTGCAATGTAAAATTATTCTTGATGTGCTCATTTCTGTGACTCCCCCAGCACTAGGAGTCTGTGTAAGGGATGACTTCTGATCTTGTCCTGCTTTGCACACGGCATCCCTGGCTGTTTTGAAAGGGTCAACTTGGGCCCCAAAACCCCTCGTTACCCACACTCCAACTGCAAGGGCGGGCCCCTGCTGACCAGTCACTTACACACAGCAAGGGACCCCTATGCACACTAGCAGATTTCTCTCTCTCTTTTTTTTTTCTAAATTCTATCAGGCCCCTACCCACACCCCCTTTCATTATGCAATACAGCAATTCCTAGAAAGCTGTGTGGAGAAAGGAATTCCTAAAAGTCCAGCTCTGTGTCCCCTTTGATTTGCATCGCGAGTTCAGGGATGCTTTCCCGCTGATTTGAGGGTGTTCCCTAAAGTTTTAAGCCAGCTCTCCCATAGACTCCTTCACCTCCACTCAGTGCCAAGCAGTTAATGATCTTAAAGACATGTACATTCTCCAGGGGATCAATCAGTTGAAGGAAAGGAGCAAATTGATCCTTCTGTTAGAAACTGAGTTTGTGACTTTGGAACTCCCGACATGAAATGGTCTCCCTGTGCGGCTGACAGTCAGGCATTCACACATCCGATAACAGGTTTACTGAGACCCTACTGTGTGCCTGGTGCGTTACTCCGCTCTGCTGAAGTATAACCTCCTAAAAGAGGCCCCCCGACCACCCTGAGGATCCTGCACCCTCTCTCATTTTCTCTTCCCATATCCGGATGTATTTTCCTTCAAGCTTATCCCTGGTTAATACCAAATGTGTATTTGTTTGTCTTTTTCCTCCTCCAGAATGCAGACTTAATACATTTACAGTTTTCTCTGAACTCTCTGCTGCCCCTTCCCCACAAGCACTAAAACAGTGCCCAGGACATAATATGTGCTCAATAAATGGCTAGTGGATGAATGTGTCCATCAGTGACAACAGACAGTTACAATAGGCTGGAAGAGCTAGAACAGATTCTGTCTCCCCCTGTCCTCCTGGCGGGTTACCTGCACCATCACCTGGACTCCAGCCATCCCACTGCCTCCTGCTTCTGTTCTCATCCTGACCCACTTCTCTGTACACACCACAACCAGAGATCTTTTCAAAATGTATCTCAAGTGACAACCACTCCCTTCTTTCACCCCATAAATGTTATCCCAATAAAGAATAGAATCCAAATTCCTCGTGGTCCCTGCCTACCTCTCCAGTGTCATCTCAGACCACTCCCTCCAGCCTTGCTTCCGCCCTCCTCACACGTCAAGCTCTTTACCAAGCGCCTTCGTGACCCTTTCCTTTTCCATGGATGCCCTTTCTCCCCTGCCTCTGCCCTGTATGACTGGTTCCTGCCCACCATGAAGAGCTCAGCCTCAGAGAATTTTATATTAATTAGTGCCCGGTCACACTTTATTTTCCTCAGAGCACTCATAACCACCTGAAATGGTTTATATATTTGTTTAGAGGTTGATAGCCTGTCTACCTCTGCTCTTCCGCCCTCCCCACCCCCACACAGACACAGCCAGTAGCACAAAAGTTCTGTGAGGTCTGAAAACTTGTCTGTCTGTTCACCAACCTATGCCAGTTGCTTGGAGTGGTTCCTGGCATTCAGTAGGTGCTCACTAAACACACGTTGAATGGATGACCAGATGAGCAGATGAATGGACGGGTGGATCTACAGAATGCCTGGTAGCATCGTGGGAAGAATGACAAACTTGGCTATCATTGTATTTTTCCAAGTCATAGCCTGGAAATAGAATTTTGACTCTTTGCTTTCTATAAGATGGAAACAGGTAACTTTGGGTCTTTAAGGGTCACTTCCTCAAAGAGGCCTTTCCTGACACACCTATCTAAGTAAGTTCTCCTTTTATTGCCTCTCATACTGTTCTATACTTTTCTTTCACTTTAATCATACTTTGTAATTATATACTGATTGGTGGCATCACCTGTTTAACTTTGTCTCCCTGGGCAGGCCAGACCTAAGAGACTGTTGTGTCTTTTGCTCAATACCACCTCTCTGGGGCTTAGTTCCATGCCAGACACACAGAAGCCTTAGCCAATCATCATTAGTTGACCCAGTATTTACAGCAGATTCTAAAGAACTTCTAAACAAGTGAGCAAGAAAGGTGCACGTAAGTGCCTTCTATACATGAATTTTAAAATGGGAAGCACATTACACATTTTTAATAAAAAAAATTAGACATTCCAACTTTCAGAATAGTAAGCACACAATCCCAAAGTTCAGTCATTGTGAATACAAAGAGTTGAGTCATGATCTTGGTTCTGACATGAACATTCTCTGTGACCTGGGTTGGTTATTCAGCTACACTTGGTCTCTGATCAAACATCGCCTTTCCAGCTGTACTGTGAGAGTTAATGAGCTCCTATTTGCAGGGTACGCAGAAGAGATTCCACTCCAAAGTCCTAAATGCTTGTCACAGTTTCCATATAACGGGTACTTAATAGACGTTTGCTGAATTAACAAATGAATGAATGATGGATGGATGGATGGATGGAAAAGATTCTGATAGGGAGCTAGATATTTGGAATGATTCTCATTCTTTTCAAGAAATATAACTGAGGATTACTGTTTGTTATATAAACTTCCTTTTTAGTCTTTGTCAGTGATAGAAAACAAGACTGGGTAGACCACTGATGTGACCTAATACAGTATTTCTTCTCATTTATGTTATTATCACCTAGATTTCAACCATCTTATGAATTTTATCAGGTCTCTATATAAGGAAAAAGATACCTATTTTGAAATCCATATTTTTTTAATGTTAACTCTCCTTTAGAAACTTAGTTGTAATGCTAATGTTCTAGTGTTGTTTCACAAAATTGCTTATATACCACAAGGTGGCTAAGTTTTATTTCCTCGAACTTAATTGAACCCAAAGGACAATCTCTCCGTATCACACAGAAATACAGAACGTGAATAAGCAAAGCATCTGATACTTACACTCCCTTTAGACTTTCTGGATCCTACAATAGGAGGTAGTGAAGAGGCTTTCTGACTGCGGAAACAAATTGCAATTTAAAAATCTGAACATGTTCACAAATAATATTTAAGGCAAGGTAACTGTCATTTCAACTTATCATCCCAACCTGGAACCCAACTGTTTCCTGACATCGGTATTTCACAAAAAGTACCACAGACTTTCCCAGTTTCACAAAGACCACCATAATATTTTCAAATTCCATTCCAAAAGATTTTGTAATGTTTACCTGTATAGGATTTTAATTGATGCTTAAAAATAAATGTAGTACCACCTTAAATTTTTTCATGGCATTTTTAATCAAATCTCTACCTAAATTTTCTGTTTGCATTTCAAAAAGTCATTTCCCAAGCTGAGTAATGATTTTGTCAGATTGAGTTTAAAATGATAAACTTCTGTTGTTTTTATAATATCTATAATATCTGCTACTAATAGAAGTGCAGAATGGTAAAATGCTCACATTTATATTCAGGGAGTTTCTAAATCAGTTAGTAAAAAGTTCTATTTGGCTATAAGAATAAGTTATTTCCCAGATATCTCTGTTATAGGAAAAGATCCATCTTGAAACCCAGTTGAACTTCTCTGAAACCAAGAGGACACATAGATAAAGGAAAACCTTACTAAGGTGTCTGAGAGGCCACCATGAGCTACAGTTTTCCCGCTGCCATCAAGTACCAGTGCAGGGGCTCAGGGCAGTGGGTGCTGCAGCTCAGAGCAGCCTAACCCCGTGCTGCTGAGCAGAGGTTGTAAAGGATCTGATTTCATGGATGGGCAAGGGTGGTTAGCAAGAAGTCTGCTGGTAAATAATTCTAAAGTTCTCGAAAACCATGTGCTCTTGCATACTTCAAATACCACCCCTGAAATTCCATTGCAACTATTACTTACTTAGAAACTCTCAGCGAGCCTCTCCATCAAGCTACACAAATCGCAAGTTAAGGGAGAACAAATTGGCGACATTCTGCTCTGTCCCAGCCACATGTCACCCACCGTAGGAAAGGAGAACTACAAAAAGTCAGTTTCCTAGCAAAGTGGACACGGAAAAGCAGCAGAGACGGATCTCAGGGCACCAAGAGAAAACGAGGAGGGGGGAGGGTCCCCCCACGTCTGCCAGGGGCCAAGGCTCTTCATGCAGATGCTTGCCTCTGCAGTTCATCTACTGGACTGAGATAAGGCATTCTTCACAAATGCATAACATTTCACGGAGGGAAAAAAGTTCACTGTGCCCTATGTGTAACTAAAAGTGCAATCTTTAAAGTTTTGCATGTAATAACTATTCACCCAGCTGCTCTACTTATTGGTACACAAAAGGAATTATAGCATTTCTATATTTTACTATTTTAATATTTTTCGAAGTATAAAGTGTTCTCTTTTAAACACCTATAGATGTTTCTGTATGCTCCAACTGAAAAATTATTTGGTCTAGCTAACCCATTCCAACATTATTAAAACTTCTAATAATGTATGCTGTATAGAAGCTCACTGCCCTGTAACTTTTTCACAAAAATTAATTTTTATATTTATTATAAATTCATAAGTGAATTGTCAAAAAAATACCAAGTAGTCTTTCTCAGATTCCCCAAAATTATAGTTTTATGCAATAGTTCTCAATCTCCAATCATGGCAAAATAAACGCTGATTAATGTAATTATACATGCTTTCCATTCCAACTGATAAATAAGATTATGTAAAATATACCAGTGTGCAGCATAAGACTCAATGCTATTTCAAGTGATAAATAAAATCTGAAGAAGTGAGTGAGGATGAAAACTTACCCATAAGACCGTCTCATCGTTGACTTGTCAAAAAGTAATTCACCGTAAGGCAATTTCTTAAACTTTTCTCTGCCGACAGCCACGTAAAACTGCCCATTCTCCAGCTCGGCCCCACTCTCAACCAGTTTTCCTTCTAAAGTATAAAGTCTGCCAAAATATGAATGCCAGCAATTAACATTTTAACAAGCATTGAGAGAACTGCTTCAAATCACAAAGTCAATTAAAAAAAACCCCTCTGTTCTTAAGTTGGCTCATTTGTTATGATGCTAATTCCTGAATTATAAATGCCTCAGTCATTAGACTTAGCTAAACGCCAGTGTTACAATGGAGATGCGGTTATTGTCTAGCTGTACAATGTTTTATCCCAGGAAACCTGACAACCTAACATAAGGATCCCCTATTGCTGCCATATTTAGTTTTTAGAGGGGAAGAATTAACTTGTAGAGAATGTGATGCTTTAAATGAAGCTCAGCTTCCACTGATGTTTGCTGTATTCCTATTCTGTGAGTGCTTTTAAAATTTATTTTCTTAATGCATTGCTCAGGTGGACAAGCATCTTACTGCATTCCATGCAAGAGTGGCTCTCAGCCAAAATTTTACATCCAAACACACAGAACTGGGTCAGAAAACAAGAGGTGAGAGGGCAGGAGGTCAAAGAACCCATTGCCAGTGTTAATGATGCAGAACCACATAGCATTCATGCTTCTTTTCTTCTTTTTTTGCCTTCCCTCATCTTCCCAGAATCCAGGGATTTCACAAGAACCTCCCTTTACTGTAAAACTGCTGTTGTGAACTACAATTAATACGTTACTCTTTAAAAGAACAGTGATAACTTTGATAGACGATTTAAAGTGGCCGCAGAATTTTTTTAAAGAACAGGAAACAACAGACTATTAGAAAACTACAGCGGAAAGCCAATGCGTATTTTTGAAGGTTATAAACAAATGTTAGTAACAGGAAGGGTTTTAAGATAATAGTTTTAAAAACTCTAATGCTTCTTATATTATGTAATTAAGGGTAGTGATATTTGCAAAAAATAATAATAACAAATCCATTGACCTATCTGCTTGTTTACTGATTATGTAAATGGCCATATTATATGGAGCCAAGAAGTAAAACAAAAAAAGCCACCAAAACCCCTATAATGTGTTTGTGTTGCATGAGTATGAAGATGTTGAAGTCTCTTTCTTTGTAACACTGTACATCAATCCTTACAAGTTTTCCTGCCTTGACCTAGACCAGGGTTTCTGAACATTGACATTTGGGGGAGAGGTAGAGAGGCTGTCCTGGGAATTGTAGGATGTTACATCATCCCCCTCCATTTGCGTTTTAAGAAACAAAAGATCTATGTGTTTCCACCCTGCAATGATGCAGAAAGGTACTGGAAAGAAGGACCACGGATGGGGGAGGATGTAGCTCAGTGGCAGATTGTGTGCTTAGCATGCACAGGGTCTTAGGTTCAATACCTCATACCTCCATTGAAAGTAAATAAGTAAATAAACCTATTTATCTCCCCTCTGGAACAAAAAAAGTTTTAAAAAAGAAGAACTGGGGAGCCTGAGGTGGGAAAAATAGTCTTTATTTATATTTTTGTCCTATCTGAATTTTTTTTTACCACATTTAAAGTATTACTTTCAATTAAAACAATAATATTTAAAATCAAACTGGTTGTGAAACTATATATATAAATATATGTAAATATGCCTACAGTAATCTGTACCCACATTTAACTGAAAAACATAATAAACAATCATCTGAGAATTTATTTTATCCTGTGTCTACCAGTGGAGTCTGTTAGAGAGACAGGGTGAGGATAGGATTCAAGAACTACCAGAAAACTCCTCACTGGATTTCAACTCTCTGTGTGTCACATACTATATTTATATTCTCAATACATTCTGAACAAGTCTATGGTATTTGGACCCTTCCCACTATGAGATAATAGATAAGTCATCTCCATCAAGGTATAATTTCATAGGCTTCACAAGTTAAAAGCCATGATTTTAATCTTCACTTAAATTTCAGAATGTGAGAAAAATATTTCTGATTTCTCAGGTTGAGGCAACCCCACTTAATTAT